TCCTTGAGGACGGCGACTAACTCGCCTCACCTCTCCCAAAGGATGGCGAGGTGGCTGTCCTTCTTCGCGGAATACAACTTCCGCGTCGAATACAAGCCGGGCAAGCTCAACGTGCTTGCGGACGCCCTCTCTCGGCGTCCCGACTATGAGTTGGCCCACATCGCGCGGGTGACAACGGATCTATATGATCGGATACGCATGGCGTATCGGGACGATGAGGCTGTCGCGCCTATCGTCAAGTTCCTTAAGGCCGGAACGAGCGCGAAGTCCGACTGGCTCTCGTCGCGACAGCGCTCACGGCTCCACCGATATGAGTTGAAGGAGGGCCTCCTCTATTATCGGGTGGAGCCCACCGATCCTCCACGGGTGGTCGTACCCAACGACGAGGATCTGAAGTTCGACATCCTCGCGGAGGCGCATGACGCGCCCTCCAGCGGCCACTTGGGCCGCGAGAAGACCTTTCTGTCGGTCTCTCAGTCCTTCTGGTGGACCCACATGTACAAGTGGGTCGCCCGGTACGTCAAGACATGCGAAACATGTCAGCGGGTCAAACCCGCAGGGCACTCTTCGGCTCCACTACAGCGCCTGCCCGTACCGGCTGATTGTTGGAAGTCGATGAGTCTTGACTTCATCTTTGGGCTTCCCGCCGACGGACACGGCAACACCGGAATTTTTATGTTCGTGTGTCGGCTGAGCAAGATGGTACATCTTGCTCCAGTTCCCGTCACTGTAACGGGCGAACAAACCGCAAGGTTGTTCGTCGATGGCGTGTTCCGCTATCACGGTCTCCCGGAGACGATTGTCTCGGACCGAGACCCGCGGTTCACTGCTGCGTTTTGGAAAACGCTGTTCCCTTTACTGGGAGCTCGTCTGCCGATGTCCACTGCGGATCATCCGCAGACAGACGGCCAAACAGAGCGCGTCAATCGAGTGCTCGAGGACACTCTGCGCAGTGTGTGCGCGGCAGCGCCACGTACGTGGTCGTCGCAGCTTCCAGTTGTTGAGTTTGCGCTCAACAACGCGGTGCACGCGTCCACGGGGTTCACGCCGTTCTACTTGAGCGGCTTCCGCCACCCCAGAGTGCCTCTCACTCTTCGAGGAGACACTGACTCCTCTATTCTAAGTGGGGGAGAGGCTCGGAAAGCCCTTTCCTCCCAGGTCTCGGATGTGAGGCCAGTTTCGCTGCGGAAACAGGTGGAATCCTTTATGGATACCAAGCTGAACGTTGTCAGCAGGGTCCGCGATGCCATGGCAGCGGCCCAAGACAAACAAAAGGAGTACTCAGACAAACAAGGAAGAGGAAACTTAAGTATATTTGAGGTTGGTGACTTAGTGTTGCTAGACACGAGGAACCTACCTCTAGACACTGTTAGCTCTGTCGGCAGCAACAAACTGAAGCACCGCTTCATCGGACCTTTTGCAGTCCTGGCCAGACATGGTGTGTCGTACACCATCGACCTTCCAGAGTCAATGAAGACGCACCCGACGTTCTATGTCGGACGTCTTAAGCGGTACTTTGACCCGCAGGGGGTTGCTGACTCGCAGACCCCCCTTGACCCAGCTCCTCGAAGCGAGGGCCGGTCACAGTCGTCGACGAGGGCGTCGGAGCAGGCACCCAAGCCTCGGTCGGGACGGCAAGGCTGCGGTCAAGACCGTACGCCGGAGGGGCTCCATACGAACGGACCCCGGCGCCATACGCCGAGTACGCCGGGTACGCACCATACGCGTACGTCTGGGAGTGTGCCGCAGGCGGCTCCGGACGTGGCAACAAAGCCTCGATCCGTCGGATCATGCGAAAGGCCTCGTCCAGATCGGACGAAGAGGCCCGGCGATCCACCCGCAGGTGCAGGCTCGCGACCTCTCGCTCCACCAGGTCCAGGCGGCCCGCAAGACGAGCGAGCTCGCCCTGATTCCCGGCCTGGGCGGCAGCATTACCGCGAGTCCCAAGGCCAAGTGCAGTCTCAAGCACGAGGACACGTTGACGGAGGCGGTCAACCTCAGGGTCCTGTGTTGGACCCGCAGTCGGAGCACTCGGACGAGAGTGGCTCTCGGGAGGCGCCGAGTACTCGTACTCGTACGAGGGCACCTCCGCCCCTGCTTGACCGGAATGGAGAAGCCCACTTCCACGTGGAGCGGATCCTCCAGGAGCAACGGTGTCGCGTTTAAGCGACAGCTCCTCGTGAAGTGGAGGGGTTATGCCCACTCCGAGAACTCGTGGGAGCCGATTGAACGGCTCCTGATTGACTGCCCGAAGGCTGTCGCAATCTGGGAACAGAAGCGGCGGCAGCTTCATAAGTAGTCCGGGGCTTCTTGCCCGAACAGGGTACGGACGATGAATACATACCGTACCCGCGCTCATCGTGCGCGCTAGAAGCCGCGCGCTTCAGGATGTCCCTTGGCAGCATACGCTTGCTGATCAAGTGGGCAAACCTCACACGAAGATCACGCTGGTCCAGGATGTGGGACAGCTGCTGATCTTCATGGAGTTCCCATAACTCCGTGGGCGAGTACTTGAGAGTCTCCACCCACGCCCAGGGCATGTCCTCACAGGAACTCCACGTGGGACAGTTCTCGGGCATAACCCAGGGGTATCCCCAAACAGGATAGAGACCACCCCGGGTCTCGGGCTTCTTACGACAAGTCGTAAAGTCCTTAAGGGGAATGCGGTGTTGCGCGAGAAGCACACACCGAGCAGCCTCCAAGTTGTCGACGAACAACTGTTCTTTCTGAACAAGGGCTCGTTCATAGATGCCCCTAGAAGTGTGGCCGCCCACAAGGCCACGAGGAGCGACGAGAAGCTCTAAGAAGAGGTCAGCCCCAGAGCTCTCCTCGGGAGGCCAATACCCTCTTGAGTTGATGGCAGCTCCCTGGCTGACGGGTGCCGCCACCGAACCCCCACGCACACGCTGGGCAGCTTGGAATTCCTCCTGCTGCCGGTCGAGGTCATTCGAGACCTCTCGGGGCTCAACGATAGCACCCTCCTCCTCCTCTTCTTCCTCCTTCTCCTCCTCTTCATCCGAGGAGCCGAAGAGACTCTGATAGGAGCGTCGAGTCTCCTTCTCCTCGCGGAGTGGAGACTTAGAGGCGGTACGCTTCTTTGAGGGCTTGGCGCCTTTGGCTTTAGAGGCCTTAGCGCGCGCAAGACCCTCGGCAAGCGAGAGACGTTTGCGAGGATTCTCTTCCTCATCGCCACCGGCTTTGGGAGCGCCCTTAGCCTTAACGGCCGGACTCTCAGAGCGCACAGAGGTGATCACCGTGATCACTAGCGAACGCCTGCACGCTGCCTTCTTTGTGCTCACTGGGCACTGGGCTGTGCCCTCCCACAGAGCCCGCAGGAGCATCCTGAGTGCTCTCGGACTCGGCATCGTCTTCACTGCCCGAGTTGAACTCGCGTTCTACGAACCGAGGGCTCGGACGGTTGTCTGAAGACGAGGGCGACGGACTACTGCGCCTGCTTGCGCGCTTGTCCGCAGCCGCGTCACCCGAGGAACCGATCGCCTCGGAGGTCACCTGAGTAGCCTCCTTGAGTGCAGAGCCTTTGCCGTGAGGCTTAGTGCTCTTGGCCTGCGCCGTACCGGCTGCAGCCTTGGAGCGTGTCTTAGCACCGCTCTTAGCAGTGCCGCGAGGCATGTTAACGGTCGAAGTGGAGACCTTGACGAAGAGCGCACAGGTTGCTGCTCGAGGCTCTAACTGTGAAGTGAGCCTCCGCCGCGCTCGCGCGGCCAAGTCGATGGTTTTCGACTTTGAGAATGAGAGTTTGTGACGAACACCTCTTCATTCTGATTGGTCGGTAAACCGAACCTAAGTGGGGGAGGATGTAACGGGGTACGTAGCCCTAAGTGTACCCTGGTTACATGGAGTGTGACACTTCACACTTCAGGAGTATGACACGTCATACTCCGAGATATTTGGTACAAGGTACCAAGGTCGTTCAAATCCAACCAATGGTTAAATGACATTGCATTTCTATAGGTAACTAACAGTTTGTATTAAACCCAAACTTAATCTACCTATAAATATACTCAGTTTACAATCTACCTTATTTGGGTCACTTCGCTCTCTTTAATAAAAGAGGGGACCTGTGAGCTGCCGTTCACTGAGAGTTTGTATACTCTCGGAAGATAACTTCCTCTTGCGCAAGGTGCTGTGTGACCCCGTCACAGATTCGCTGTGTATCCGATCAACTAAGTCAAGGAATCCAAGCTGAGCAACTCTATGCTGGATCAACGTGGAATTGATCAACACTCTGCTCATGCGACGCTTATCCGCTATCGACCGCATCTCCTTGCACTCTTGAGTTCTGACAACCAGCCAAAGCACTTGTCCGAACCCAATCAAGGGGCTGCACTGCAGGGCTGCCGATTATGGCATGGTCTTGTCAATAATTTCTTAAGAAATCATAAATATATTTATTTCGTCGACATCACGAATGCAATAAATAATTTATTTATCTCTACCATAATTTAAGAAAAGAGTTCTTCATCATTTTGCTATTCATGGCAAGCCAAGGCATTTTCATTGTAAATTTACTCGCAAAACGCTAAGCATCACAAGTCTCACGGACAAAGTAGGCAAAAAAGTGTCATTTCTGCACGAAAACGGTGTGATTTCGACAAAATGTGCATTTTTAAAATGATGCTGAGTCGCTCTACATTATGCTCTTATTTATTGCCTGATCACTGTACATGCCATAATGTATGTATTGGCACTACAGTAGCTTTCCAATACCATTATTTATGCTAAGGGAGGGTTCCCGATAAATAACAATGCCATAATCAGGAGCCCTGGGCTGCAGACGCACTGCAAGCCATCATTATTTTGCGTCGAGCGACATCAAAGTGAAACGCTGCAGTTCTGTACTATCGTGCAAGAAGACCTCACGTTGATCGACTTTGAGGAATTACTGCAAATAGTATTCTATTTTCCTGATATCAGACGACACAGTGCACTTTACTACATCAAGTTCTATCATCGATTCGCAGATAAATACTATTTTTCTGTCAAAGGTGGGTCATGTCGATGTCGTCGCCGTCAATTGAGTCAAAATCTGGAGCCGACGGCGCTGCCATTGCCCGAACCGTGACAGCCCCAGGTGCTGATACTGCCAACGTCGCGTACGGGATCATCACTGGAGGAGCTGTTGGCAATGCCGCATCCACGTCGGGGGCGGACGGTTGTGCGCCAATCAGCTGCACATTGTGGTTCTTCACGGGCTCCAACGCCGCGTCTTCAATCCCAGCTGCTTGGTTCTGCTCCTTGTGGGCCAGATCCTCTCTCATGGCCGTCCAGCCGAATAAATTCAGCAGAAGACCCGACCCCGATCCGGCACGCATCACCGGCGTAGCTGTTGCTATTGGCGACGCTCCGTCCGCAGGAGTGACCACCGGGTCGTCGTCATGGCTACCTCGTCGGTTGTGATATCTGTTGCTACTGGTTTGGTCATTTTCTCCATCTGAAACGCAGCTTTCACCTCGCTTCCGGATACGATAAATGACAAAAACCGAAGCGACAATGAAGCACATGGCACCGAGAATGGCTGCAATCGATCCGAACTGATTTACGGAAGTGTCCCGATCATTTGTTGCCATTGCATTGACCATACACTTTTTGTCAGGCCTTTGGCGATTCACTTGGAGAGCCTCGCAAATTGCCACACAGACACAGCCACTTTGACCCAAACAGTATCGTGACCGCGAATAATCCGAATGGTGGTAGATAATTTCGGCAAACGCCGTGGCCCGGCATAGCAGACACTGGGCGTCGTCATTTTCACAGTATGTGGCGTTGCCAGCCACAAAATCGTATTGCTGGTTTTCACTGTGGCCACTTTCGGTAGTCGGTTCGGAGCTGTTGCCACTTGTGCCATTGTATCCGGCTGTCACAAATTCCGCAGCGAGTTGGTTTGAAGGGGTTCCCTGTCGGAAATCCATTGCCAAGTCGAATTGTGACATGGAGACGCATTGGCCCATGGGGTTGACGAAACAACCTTCGGGCTCCGTGGTGATGTTAAAGTTGAGGCAATCATAGCACGAGCGCTGTAGCTGGCACGGATGGCAGTCATCGGTCGGGTAGTACATGCACGTGCCGTGTGTGCGTCGGAAGTTGATGTCTTCTTCGTGTCTGGCCTCGTCCTCGTCCTCGTCGTTGTTGGAGGTTGGAGGGGGTCCGCCGCTGTCGTCCATTTTACTGGTCTGGGCCGCGCCGGTGGACGCTAAATGGACCGATGGTGCTGCCACTTGAGAGCCCTGGTTCTCTGCTGACCATGACATGGCTGCTTTTTCGAGCCAGATTCATGTATAAAACCGAGCTGTTTTACACCCGGATTTTGTTTTGACCAATCCGGTAACTGAGATCTATGCTCACTTGGCTGTGTGCAAAACGCAAAGTGCAAAGCTGGTGACTTACCAGTAGCTGTAGACTTGATTTTCAGCGATGACTTTTAAAGCTTTAATAGTGTAGTGAATGATGGCTACCACATAATTGAATGGGATCGAAGCCAGCCGCTGGTAGTTACCGTAGAAGCGTGGGTGAAAAGCAACCTCTTGTCTTCTGTTCAAATTCGGCGGAGACTTGCAAGGCTCCCCGTTGGCAGTCTTTACCTCTCAGGTTTGTTTGGCAAGTTGCCAGTGGCAACTGTTGCCGCAACAAGCAAGCTGCTTGCTCGGTGTTGGTAAGAAGCAGACACTGCACGACTACCGGTATTTATGCCTACTTCTCACTTGGCAGTTCTAAAGCTTCTTTGTAAAAGCTTCATAGTTGTGCGCACGACGCTGAAGGTTTCTAACGGCCTTAAAAAACGTCGGAACGCTTGATTTCCGACGTTCTAAGGCAGGAAAGTAAATCTGGACACGAAACCACCGCCTCTGCAACGCGATGGAGCCCTTTGCACGTTCATTGCCGCTCTCGACGCCAGCAACAGCGTAGGATACAACAGCCAACCGCTTGAACCGATGCCAGAGTCCACATCTCAATCGGTTCGCTCCGGTGTTCGTCGCCGCGCCCAGACCTCTCCACATCCCGCAAACGATGACCGAACACAAGGAACCTGCTCATATTACCCGGCGGATTTAGGAGGCTGTCGAGCGCCTCGTAGTTGTTTTGACTGCCTCAACTCAGAGCTCGAGAAGGAGCCGGACGGCTGCATGGTCAACGAAGTCGGACGATGCGTCTCCATTCAGGGCAACTACGATAATTCACTGGATTTCCGAGTTGTGTCAACCCCAGTGGCTAGCGATGCGATAAGCAATAAGAGAATATCTAGCATCAGCCACAAGGTGACTCAACCTCCACGCAATCTGATAGATTTCCATATCGAGCTGGAATTTCCAGCAGCGAACACAACCTATTGTGAAGCCAACGACGTGCTGTTCAGTGCAGATCTACTCACTGGTGGTGGCTTCATGTACGGCACTAAGGGCTGCGTATTTGTCGGAGTGTGCGAAGTTCCGAATTGGATTTACGTCGTTGGTGGCAGCGACTGCTCTAAATTGAGTGCAACTGATTACCGGTACAAGGATCCTGGCGATGATGTCCAGGGAGATGCCAATACCGGTAAAGACAACCCGCAAGGTTACGTGGTGTTTTGGTGTGTTGCGATCGCAATCATTCTCACGCTTGTGGCAACTTTGGCCATGGTGATCACGATTCACCACCATCGCAAAGGTAGAACGGAGGAATTGCAACGGCAAAGAACGATCGTTATTGGAGAGCCAATTGCCAGTTCACCAAGCAGCAAAACTGGCAAAAGTGGCACACAACTTTTGAACTTGATCGGCTGGGAAGCCATGCGCGCCGATCTCATCGAGAAGGAACGTCAAGATGTCCAAAGTCGCGTTTGCATACAGCCATGCCCCGTTATCGACAGCAATCTTCCTAGTTTTTCTCCGTCGGCGCATTATCTTCAACTCGTAGGGGCTGAACCTTCAGCACCTGTAATGTCGCCCATAAACTCATCCGCTCCACGTTTTCCAGACTGCTAACGCACAAAAATAAAGAAGAGGGTTTTGACTTTTTTGGCAAGCTTGCAACAAGTTGCCAGTTCACACGGCCATTTCACAATTGGCACAAAGACTTGTAGCTCATACATGTACATTTTTGCAACGTGATTATACGACCTCACTCCAGCAGGGCAATATCCTACAACTCCCGGCGCGAAGGGTGCTCGCTAGGTGACATCGGCCGATACCCGTCGCCTTCTTCGACAGTAGCGGCAGGTAGCGCAGTTGATGTCCGTGTCAGAGTCGGCTTCGGTGTTGCACTCTCGCCCGCCAGGCGACTCTGCTCGCTGGAGACGAGTTTCTCGCGCATATCTGACCAGCCCGACAAGCTCAGCTGCGGCAAGTGAGCTAAGCCCGCAGGGCGACGCGATTCACGCAGAGCCGCACGCGCGGCGTCACGTGCCTCGCGGTCTTCAACATCTTGCCGCTGTCGACGCGCGAGCTGGCGCTTAGTGAGGACCGTCGCAACGACAAAAAGTCCGATAGTTCCGGCGATCAGCCCCGCTACCAACCGGAACTGCGACCCGTCGAGCGCTGGGATGCACCAGTTGTCCACAATATTGTCATCACGACTGGATAATTCGCACGAGGCAATGCAAATGCAGCCGCTCTCTCCCACACACATGGCGTTCGGTTCCACATACGCCCCCGCACTATCGTCGCGGGTCCAATTCGCTTTGCAAGCTGAACAAACCGAGTCGTTCGAGGCGCAGTACGTAAAACGGTCCATGGGATATCCCCCCACACTCGATAGCATGTACGCGTTCATACATTCGCCGTAAGCGCTGATGGCGCACTGCAAAGATACACCAATACAAAATGATGACCCGAGGCCACGTCAGTCTTCCGAGGTTTTATGCGTAAAGCTAACGTGTCTTAACCCACATCTTGGCCTGGGATGGCGACATTCAAGCAGTCCAAGCAGGACCGAGGGTTGGAGCAGATGCCGCCCGAGTACCACGTGCACGAGTCTCCGCTGTTGGAGGATTCCGTCTTGGGGGCGCTGGTGAACACAATGGAGCCGTCATCTCTGGTCAAATTGGACGCGTTCTCACTGCCGACGTCGTTCGCGCTGCTGTTCGAACCAGAGCTGCTCATGCCGGTCGGTGGGCGGAATCGCAACTGAGATTATGGCAGGAATTGGGCAATGAACCACCCTGGAGCGCGACATTTTTCAGAAACTGGGCGGAGATTATCAATCTTCTTCGGGAAAAAAGTGGATTTTGGAGCGACCTTTGATTGGGAATTCTTTTGTTTTCTTCTTAACTTACAATTACATCAGTATATAAGGACAGAAAACACTTAAACAGTATCATTATACTATATTTCATTAAAGGGATACCATCAAGTATTGGAAAGGGATGTGCTGGCAATGCAAAGCTGCACAAAAAATCGGTCCACATTTCGCGTTAACTTCAACCTCAGGGAACTATGTTTTCCACTCCATTTTGTAAATACCGGTATACCGCAACCGTACCGATATATACTCCTGGGCGAGCTCTCACACTTCGTTTTTGGAAGAACAAGCAGCAAGCAGTCAAGAAACAAGCGATCATTCTACAGCGCTATCTAAAATGACCACTCAAGCGACCACCGAGGCCACCAGCGCTCCCAGCTCGACGCTCCAGGGGCGATAATACCCATACGGACAGCGTAGCTCCCGCCAGCAGAGGTGACGTCGTCGATGTCACTGGCGGTGACGGGCCGTAGACGGCTGCTTCTGCGCGTACCACAACTGTGAGATGCTATCCTGCTACTGTGAGATGCTACTTGCTACGGTCTGCCAGTGTCCAGTGCCAGACGTCATTGCCACAGCCCAAGACACTGGCAATACCAGTACTACCGATCCAACCTACAATCCTACGCGTGTCTATGCATGTACTGCATCCCGGCGTACCGGTCTGCAACGCGCTCACGTGCGAGCGGCGTGCGGAAGATACCAAGGACTGTATGAAGGACGACATTGGTGGCGGTGAGCAACTGCAACTGCGTTGCAGGTGATGGTGAACTACTTAGCTTTCTATAGACTATCTTAGACTGAGTATGTGTTAATCTAACTTTGCGGAACATGGAGGTTCAGGTGCTGGCAGCTCTCACTCTCACAACTGCTTTTGCTGTGCTGCGTGCACAACGAGTGAGAGGCAGCAAGCACCAGAACTCCGTGGTCCTGTCGTGGTACTTTGCCCGGCACTCACGTGTCTTACATTCTATTCCTACTTGCTCTACACCTACTGCCCTACAAGTCTGTGCTTATGGCACCTACGTTACGTAGTGATAGAAGGTCGGAGAGCCCGGTGACGCGCCATGCGTCATCTCAACAACGGATCCCAATCAGGGCGCAGCGATCGACTGACGTGGACTCTGGTGTTGAAAACACACAAGAAGAAGTTTTGACGAATCAAGGAGGAGATTCCCCGGGATTGGTCGAAAGACTGAATGGCCCGGATGATGCGACATTATCGCAATCTGATGCTGAGCGACTAATTCGCTCATTGGTTGGAATTACTGGTGGGCGACCGTTGCTTCGAGTGTTACTCGAATGTATGCAGAATTCGAACACAATCGAAGAAACGGGGCCAGTTGAAAATCCGCCCCCTCCGCCTCCACCACCCTCGAGCCAAGGATCGGTTGGCAGTGGACGAAGCTACACGAGCCGAGGAGAGAGCAGTCTGGACAACATGAACCCCGGTGGTCGGTACGACGACAAGGAGCTGTCCGACCACACCAAGGCGTTGCGCAACTCCGCAAGCATTGTGTTGCCTAAGCTTCACAAGAAGGAAGACTACAAAGCGTGGCGAAGCGAGGTGCCGTTGCACTTCGAGACGCGCTCGCTAGGCGACATTACGTATGGAGGAGAGCGATATGACGAAGAGGAAGGTCTACGTCGCCCTAAGTATCATGAGTGGTATGCGACGCGAAAGAACAAGGCGTTCTCCGCGTTGGCCCTATCTCTATCTGTGGACTTACGCATTACGTTCAAGATTGATGAGATAAGAGACAACATGGATGCGGCAGCAATGCTGTATTCAACAATTACCAAACACTTTGTGGCTGGAGACGGCATCATCCCTGACTACTTGCTACAGGACTTGGTGACTCGCCGATTACAACCGAACGAGTCCGTTACTGCGTACGTGGAGGACATCGGACGAAAGGTGACACTCCTGCGTCAAGGAAATGGTGAATTTGAAGAATGGCAACATGCAAGCCTACTTCTATCAAACTGCGTGTTGGTATTTCGAGATCTCGCGCGTGAACACGCAGACTGGATCAACCAACACGACCGTCGTGGCCTAAAGCTGTCCGAGGCATTGCAGCGCCTGCGTTCTGCTGAACATCAGCGTGATCAGCTGCAGCAGCAGACGAACCGGCCTACAACGCGGACAATGCAAGTCGCGCAGGTTGGTACTGGCCAAGGACAAGGACGAGGACAAGGTCAAGGCTACGGACATGGACACAACAGTGGAAGTGGACGTGAGTCTGGAAAGAAACGTGGGAAGAACCAGCGCAAGAAGGCAAAGGTTGCAGCTGAGAAGAAGCAGCACGCAGCCTGCGCTAACTGCAATGGAGATGGTCACTGGTATGCAGAATGCACTGCGCAGACTGGCATGCAACTGAGACCAGACCTGGCCAAGAGACTTAAGAACAAGTTAAAAAAAAAGAAGTCGCCAGCTTCCCTCATCAACTCGGTGAGACGAGTTGAAGTTGCCCAGTCTGACAGTGAGCAACGAGCCCTATTCTCGGGTCTCTCGTTGTGTGCGACGACACGACTGGCGAATAACGATGGGAACAACGATGGTGTGGCGACGGCTGCACACATGTCTCCCGTGTATTCGGTGACAACACCTGCGAGCAGTGAGGCTGAAGATGAGAATCTGGCTGAAGAGGTGAAGACGTCGGCAGTCGGACTCGAGTCCAAGTATACACCTGCAGTACACCCGAACGTGCCAACGACACCGCAACAACTGCAACAACTGCAACTGAGAGTTCCTGCTAACCATATGCAAGGTAGAGAACAAGAACAAAAGGATGGACAAGTGCATACAGGACACCAAGAGGTGCAACTTGCTGTACCAGCGGCGATGAAAAGCCAGTGGGAGAGTGGCCAATCGCTTGGTTCACCTCCTGCTTTGGGAACTGCACTATACTATCTGGGTCAAGGACTGATGCAGAGCTCGCAAGGACCTGGATCTGAGCTATGGTACACCAAAGGTGGACCACAAGTGGGTCCACCTGTGCCGGGGGATGATCATTGTGGACCTAATGTTGAGCGACGCGGACGCCAAGGACCCGCGCAAGATTACGGGCGAGGATATCAGTCCAACATGAGTCCTTATGAGCTAGGACGCAGTGGATTTATACCAGGACGAGCTGACTCACTACAACTACAAGGATGGAACTACTCACCTCCGCGGAACTTCCAAAGAGGAAGATCACCGCAACGTGGAAGGAGCCGCTCACCTCCTCAGGACTTCCAACGAGGAAGGTCGCCGCAACGTAGATGGGGTCGCTCACCGCCCCGAAACCTGCAACAAGGAAGACCACCGCAGTCTGGAAGAAGTCGTTCACCGAGAGGAAGATCACTGCAGCGTGGGCGTTCGCCATTGCGTTGGCGTTCGCCACCTCGTGGTCGTAATTGGTCTGCTCGTCGTGAGCCACGAGCGAATAACCAGCCGCCAAGTCATTATGGACCCCAGCCGCAAGAGCCGTGGCGTAGTGGACCATCACCCGCGCGTGGACCACTACTGAATGATTGCATTCGTCGAAATGATCTTCAACGTCGGAACTTGTCGCCAAGTCGTCGTGGAAACTCGCCTAGACACTGCGAAAATCGTGGGAATGTTGGTATCGGTGGAATTTGACAGGTGAATGCGATTAATCGAAACCAAGGAAAGCAGTCTGATGACTCAGATTGGGTGGAGTGGATTTTGGACTCTGGCTCTCAGGCGAATGTCTGTGGAGACTTGTCTATATTTACTACCATTCGAGAAGATCGCACCAGTCGGCTTGACTTTGCCAACGGAACATCGGAACATGCAACTATGTGTGGTTCTGTCTTGCTACGCATTGTAAACCAAACAACTGGTGAACAAGAAGATCGCCTCCTTGAGGACGTGGTCTACACTCCTAATGCAAAGGTGAACATTATCAGCCTCGGTCACTTGCAGACGGCTGGGAAGTACAAGCTGCTGTGCTCAGATGATCAGCAGTCAGCTTGGCTCTCAAAGCCAGGTACTTCGTTGAAGTTTATCATGAGAGACAATATCTACCGATTGAAGGCAGAGCGAGTGTCAGGAGTGATGGTGATGGCAGCACGCAAACAAGACATGGACAGCAGAAAGACGATGGAGTTACTGCACCAACGGCTCGCTCACATGAGTATGGACACTGTGAGAGAACTGTCGAGTAAGCTCGATGTCGGAGTAAAGATTAATGCACAAGGTCTGAGCTCCTACGAGTGTGTTGCGTGTGCTGCTAGCAAGACTAAACGGATGACTTATGCAAGGATTCCTAAACGGAAGTCTGAACCGCTCGAGATGTTGATGATGGACATATGCACGATGAATGAACCGACGGAAGGTGGTGCAACTATGTTCCTGCTAATCATTGATGAAGCTACTCGCTTCAAGTGGGCGTATCTACTCGAACGAAAAAGTGCGGCTACACTGTACGTCAAGATTTTGCTACATCAACTTCGGACTCAGTTTCCCAAGCTCACTGTTCGGAGACTGCACTCTGATCAGGGTGGTGAATTCACCAGTAATGCGCTGAGAGATTACTGCAATGAGCATGGGATTGTGCAGCAGTTCACGAATGCTTACTCTCCTCAGGAGAATGGTGTGGTGGAGCGAGCGAATGGCACTGTACTGCCTCGCATCCGTGCTATGCTAACCGCTACACATCTTCCTAACATGCTATGGGGAGAAGCACTTCTACACATTGTTACGACACTGAATTGGCTACCAACTAAACCGCTAGGACTGGTCTCGCCATACAAGAAGCTGTACAGTGTGACACTCGATGTGGATGAGCTTCGGACTTGGGGATGTGTGGCACACGTGCGTGTCCCTCCTGAGTCCAGACAAAAGAAAGAAAAATTGGAGCCGAGAGCACGAATATCTCTATTACTTGGTTATAGTCATGATACCAAGGGCTACAAATTTCTGGATTTAAAGACAGCTCAAGTCGTGACTGCACGTGGACGAAACACGCGATTTCACGAGGCGTTTACAAGTGACGGCACTTACGTAAAGCAACTCCTAGAGAACGCATATCACGATGGTGATCATCAGCTGCCCGATAGTGTTCCGGTGGCACGCATCAAGACTAGTATGGAGACGTACCTGCCTGGTTGGAGCTCTGAGTCTTCGAATGTGACGAAGCAGCTCGAGATGGTGCCGATAGCTGATGACCTGCAGGACAAAGAGCATGAGTCCAGTGGGAGTGCGAAAGACGACTTACCTGAGGAACAAAGAGTAGAGTCGCCAGCCGGTGTAGATGCACCAGTTGAAGTTGCTGCGAACGATGAGACGAAGGAGCCACCTGCGGCACCCAAGGCTGGCAAGCGACGAAAACGAAAGACGCGAAAGAAACTTGAACCAGAAAAGAAGGAGACGAAAACTTCTGAGATTTGCGATCCAACTGTTCAACCCTGTCTCAAGCGACCTCGAAGGACGCAGAAGCCAAGCGTGCGGCTTCTTGACTATGTGGTGGGCAACGTGATGTCTATCAATATGGACATTGAGATACCGACGACCTATAAGCAGGCACGTCGGAGCAAGCATTGGCTTCAGTGGAAGGCTGCTATGCTTTGAGAACTACAGTCACTGAAACGACACAAGACATGGAAATTGGTGCCACGCGCGGCAGCCAAAGGCGTCAAGGTTATTACGTGCAGATGGGTGTTCGCTGGTAAGCGTGACGAACGAGGGCGTGTGAAAAGATTTAAAGTTCGTCTCGTGATTCATGGCTTCAAACAACAACTGGGCGTGAACTACAGT